GAACAAATTCCCATAACGCTAATTAAACGTTTTCACGAATCTCGTAGATATTGTAGGGTAAATCGCGAATCACGTTGATGAATTTTTACCAATAATGCGGAACAAAGAAGTGCCTGAATCACGTTTCACACAGAATATTGGGCTCAAATAACGCATCACCCCCGAAAAATAAGGCCAATCCGCAAAAAGTATACCCTCGATATATTTCCATAACTCCGGAATCCGCCGTAATTACTGTTTAAATTTCATATTCATGTTATTCACTCATGGAAGTTACAAGCCTGGGCTGCTGTCAGTCATATTTCATCTCATCCTTGCTAATCAATACTTCCGTCTTTATCATAGCATTACTAGTACTGGGGGTGTACATTGCACATCTGGTTTATTTGTTGGATTTGAGGGGAGAAGGTCAGTTGGGCAAAATAAAAATTATATTTTTATTTTTGCTGAAATCACCACTTAAAGTAAAAATCCTGGCTGGTAACGAAGAATAGCTGCAGAGGTAACGAGATGCTCAGCAATCAAATTAATTTTTTGGTCCAGAAAAGTTACAATTCTCTTACATATTTGCAGTTATGCCAATAGTTTGGGTGATTACAATACATGATTGCGAAATAGAAGCATTTAGTAACACTGTGTGGTGAATTTTATTATCAAAAATGATCATTCTGTTAGGTCGTGTGGAACAAATGAAAATAAAATTCAAAAATTGGAATTTTTTTTTCCAACTTCTGGAAAAAGAAGGTTGGTCAGAACCCTAATCCAACAAATAAAACAAGGCAGCAAAGCTGTCAAATGTACAGACAAAAAACAGAAAAAAAAGATGCAAAATAGGTCATTTTGTCAATTTTGATGCAATAATGAATGCTTATAATAGCACAGTCAGTCAACACTGATTTTTAATCATGCACAACAGGTAACATGTTCAATAACAGGAGCAGATCCAGAGATATTTTCTGCCAGTATTCCAAAGTATCTTTGTTGATCCATCCTCCATTTTGATGGTCTTCCAACAGAAACCCGTTAATATAAACTTTAAAATCTGACTGCCTTCCAGGAGACCCAGAAGATGGTCTCAATCCACCCTTTCAATAAGATTACAGTGTCAGGACCATGAGAGTTAAAATTCACATGATGAAAGTCCCAATATATGAAAAATGATGACAGTGCATAAAATAATATTACAGCGTGTTTAAAGACATAAATACCAATACAGCTGCTTATGTGGAAATACTGAAAATTTGCAGAGCCTCAGGTGGATGGGAGTTAAAAATCACATATTAAAAATGCCAGTGTTGGAGAAAAAATTAAAAAGAAAACAACAAAAATATAATTCCAATGAAGCTGCTATTCACTGCTTTCTTATTATGGACACTATGTTATCTAGCAGAGAGCTTAACCTTTGGGAGTTTACAGGGAAATATCAACAAGTGTGCTTAATGAAATTTCATTTTATGGCCACTTAATTAGGCAAATGAGTTTATATCACTGAAATTAGCCTAGTGAATACCCAAGGGGAATTTACAGACCGACCACACAAATTTGTCTATCAAAGGTCTTCAGGCCCATAAGTCACACCTTAAGAAAAGCAGAAAACAATAATGCACAAAAACAGGAGACTGCCAATTCTGATGCAATAATACATTATGTTTAACTGCACAGTCAACATCAAATTTTAATTATGCACAACAGGTAATACTGATGAAAGTAAAAGCATAAGGCTCCAGGCCCATCAGAGTTCAAGTTTTCAATTAGAAAGTGCCAGAATGAGAAAAATGAAAATTTCACAAAAAATGCATAAATTTAATAAAAATGATAATCCAATAGAGCTGGTTTTCTAATATGAGCTGTATGTCAATCCTAAGAATCATTCTTGTAAGAATAGTTAAAAAAATAGAAAGTAAAACTTTACTCTTTCAGAGTCAGAGTCATACTTTGAAAATGGTGGCAGAGCACAAAGTAGGTTTTTTGTCAATTTTGATGCAACATTACATAATGATTAACTAATTAAATACCACCAATTTTAAAATATCTACTATTAAAAACATGGACATTAAGAAAAAAATTTGATTACCACTAGGCTTCATGCCCAAGGGAGCTCTAAGTCCCACATTGAAAATTGCAACTATGAAAGATAAAAATTTTCACAAAAAACCTGTATTACTTCCAAACAATTAACTAATGAGACAATTTTTCAACTGAAGCTGTATTTCAGTCCTGTTTCTTTCCTGTAAGTGTGAGAAGAGCAAGTGACATGGTTTTCCTTTCACCGCCACTACAGAGGCAGTGCCCAGAATAGGGTTTTGTTCAATTTTGATGCAATATTACACAATGCTTAACAGCATAATAACCATAAATTTTTTAATGATAAAATAAAAGTATCATGGATATTCAGAAAATGTGACTAGCCCATAGAGTTCAGAGTCATACTTTGAAAATCCCAAAATGTAAACAAGAGTAAACTGTGTTGAAAGAGTTTATTTCCATTTTCAACACCTTTTTTACATAAAGCAAAATAATCAATTTACTGTCATTTTTATATGATCAATCAAAAAATATGCTGTCAAAGCAAAAATATCAATAGAACAATTATAAATGTCCAACTTGCTCCATTCTGAGATTCTGAACATAGTGAATGATTGAATATGACGAACTGCAATGATATGAGTTCCTTTCCATTTTTGACACTTTATTACACAATGCACAATAAAAGGTGTACCGTCATTTTTATATAATCAACTAACAATATTGTTAAGAAGCAGAAAATGTCAAAACAACACTTTTTCATATCTAATTAGTTCCATAATGAGACTGTCAACATGCCTAAGAATTAAATCTGAAGAAAAACCACTTATATACAAAAGGGCTAATAACTTCATCAAAACTTAACTGATCAAGCTTATTTTCAAACTTGATCTGTATACTAGTCAGACTGATCACTCCTGTGAGTTTCAAGACAAAAGGCTGATTGGTTTTCCTTAAAATGTGTTATCAGTGTTGCATATATGCTGAATAATGGGAAAAAACAGCATAACTTTAAATTTGTAAAAATAGTCCAATCAAGCCAATTTTCGAACTTGACCTGCGTATTATTAATATTCATCAGTTCTGTAAGTTTCAAGCCAAAAGGTAAAATGGTTTTCCACTTATCATGTTATCGTTGCTGCATAAATGCTGAAAAAAGTGAAAAAACAGCATAACTTCCCTAAAAATGGCCCGATCATGCTGATTTTCGAACTTGACCTGCGTATTATGAATATTCATCAGTTTCATAAGTTTCAAGCCAAAAAGTAATATGGTTTTCCATCTATCGTGTTATCGGTGCTGCATATATGCTGAAAAAAGTGAAAAAACAGCATAAATTCCCTAAAAATGGCCTGATCATGCTGATTTTCGAACTTGACCTGCGTATTATGAATATTCATCAGTTCTGTAAGTTTCAAGCCAAAAGGTAAAATTGTTTTCCACTTATCGTGTTATCGGTACTGCATATATGCTGAAAAAAGTGAAAAAACAGCATAATTACCCTAAAAATGGCCCGATCATGCTGATTTTCGAACTTGACCTGCGTATCATGAATATTCATAAATTCTGTAAGTTTCAAACCAAAAGAAAAAACGGTTTTCCACTTATCGTGTTATCGGTAAAAGTGCACGGCGACGACGGCGACGGTGACGGCGACGACGGACGCAGGTGATGGCTATATGTACAGACACATCTGTGTCTGTACATAAAAATGTGGCCTTATGCAACACATTCAATTATTTATAGGACCACAGGGGTTGTAGTTAATATCAGAATCATGATGCCCGGCATTAAATGAAACTATTGTTTTAATTTCAGGTCAGAATTAGAAGATTTCATTAATGGACTGAAGAGTTATGAGTTTTTGAACCTCATACGTAATTTTCCCACAACAATGCGATCACTGTTGGTTGCTGGAAATAAGATGGCAGTTACTGGTACTGATTTATTGGAAATGTTCAAACCAGTGTTTCTGATGAAGGTGCCAATCAGCAATCAAAAGAGGAAGACCTCATGGAATTGTGGACGGACTATCCGAGAATGGTTGACAGAGGTACATGTAATCCTATTCCGTCCTACAAAGTAAATGTGAGAAACTAAATCCATGTGTTTCAGACCACTGCAAGGTTTTAAAAAGAAGAAAATGAAAAATCAATAAACTATCATGACTAGAGTTGGTTCACAATTTCTTTATTTGTAGTTTTATTGTTGAAATGAAGTTCCTGTTATTCTCAGGTGAAACCAAAGTTAGTGCCCTAGATATATTGCTTTTTGCATCTGGAGTGGAGGAAGTGCCCATCATTGGCTGGGGTGATGGGCGTGAACCACTTCTGATGTATGAATTGGAGCCGAAGGGTCCATTACCCACAAGTAGTACATGTGGACCTACCATCATTCTGCCAGTGTGGGACTATACAGGGAAAGACCATTTCAAGGAACAGATAGATTTAGCTGTGCAGTGCAGTCCTTCAATTATAAGAGACTAACTTGTAGGACCTACTGACAATTTGAGATTTTATGGACTTTATTATCCTTAGGATTTTCAACATATTTCTATATTTTCAAATTTCTAAGTCAAAACCATATCATACTGTAATAATTGATACCTGCCATAAATGTCAATACATTGAATTTGCCAAAGTATTCAATTCAAGACTTGGTGGTCTTGCAGTTCAAAAAGTGAAGTTTTTCTACGAGTAGTAGTTTTTTAATATGTCATAGTACTTTCAACATAGATTACTATATTTTTAAACTCAGTTAGTCAAAACCATGAAGTCAAGAAATGCTGCCATTATATCTACCGTATCAATGCATTATTATTGTCAGTTTAATATTGGAGAAAGTCTCAATAAAAGATAAGTTTTCCTTGAAAAAAATACTTTATTCTCTGATTATCTTTTTTTCAATGTGGATATTTATGATACATGTACAATATGTGATAGCAAGTCAACAGTCCTTCTAAGTGTATCAATTCCTCAACATTCATCTTCAACGAGTGGGTCAGTTTGGTTGTTAAGAATCTCAATGATATCTGGAGTAAGTTGAAGCGACAGTTCATGGACTTGGACATTGTTATTGGTGGTAATGTTTGGCACGGGCTCATCAGAATCATTAAATTCGACTGGCCCATCATAGACGAGGGTGGGATTCCTCAGCATCCCTTCATACCAAAGCATACTTGCACTCCTGTTTTGAGATGTTCGCATAGGATGATTGTTCCATTGTTCCCTAAATTCTTCAAGGGCTCTATTTATCCTGGGACAAAAGACATAATGCATGGCCAAGATATGCAGCTCATCATACCTGTTGGCAATTCCTTCATCCTCCATGAAATGGAAAATGTCTGAAAAAATGCTGGTCACGCACTCACGGACATCCCTCCACAGCCTCTCTATTCGTTGATTGTGAGTTGACTTGTCTGTCGGGAAACTGCCTCTGTTAGGTCCTCTTGTTTCAATCATATATCGTGCTACTTCAACGTTCTCGGTTCCATAATCGGAACGCACACGAAGAGGACAGCCATAAGTGTCGACTGCTTCCATAAAATGCTCCATAACAACTTGTGATTTGTTAGATGTACCACATTTCAAGAATACACAAAGACGAGATTGTCCATCAATTCCTCCATGTATAATGAATCCCCATGAGCTTATGGTTTCCGTTGATGTGCCTGCAAAATTTAATGAAAATATTGTATGAACAATATTGCACTCATAATCCTAGACCCTATTTTAGGCATAAAAAGACATATATACATTTACTGCAAGATAGAAGAATTCAAATTCAACTGTTTATTAGGTACATTTCTTTGCTTCAACATCACATGTACAGTGACCAAAGTGGCTAATAAAATAATTCATAACTTTGATTAATAAAATGCCCAGTGTAATCAAATAGGAAAATCATTAGAGTAAACACTAAAATATAATTTATATATACTACTAGACATGTACTAGGACCTTACCATATGTAGTTGGGAAAAGGAACCCAATATGATCTTCGGTAAATAACATGTCAGCGTCTAAGAGCAGGGTACGAATAAGGACCGTCCGGCAGCCCGGGACGGCTCAATTATCACCCAGGCGGTCTCTTTCCAAAAGTTGCCAGTCCATCGGTCTGGCCATTTTCTGGCCTCTAAAATAATTGTATATCAATATGCCCGTTCATATTAAGCACATTTGGTTGAAATAAAACAAAAACAATGAGGCTCACCCTTCAAGAAATCGACACTCTCGACAAATGAACTAAAACAGAAAGTACATGCTTAGTCACCGTTTTCCTGGCATGCCTAGCGCAAAGATCCTCAAGCGGCAATCCTCGGCTCATTCCGCAAACACAAGTACATATTGTCGAGCGCAGAGACATCCAAGTAGTTCAGGGGGCAAAGATCCTTCGCGTCTGATACAAAGTATCAAACGCGGCATTTACATGCTTGTTTACGAGAATAACGAACAATGCATGATCATTCAAGTTCAAAACAACACAATCTCTTCTTATTACAAAGTTTAAGTTTTGATTTTTCTATAATCTGTAATTGTAATTTTCTTAACATTTACGTAAGCTACGATTTCTTTCTCATTAAAAAATATTTGAATGACGTCACGACGCATGTGGAGTCTACAAGACGGCGTGTAAGAAGTCGCAGTCCACCTTGTACAAGTATTTTGGTGCTAACAGCAATAATGAAAATGATGCCCCAGCATGCAAGAAAAAAACGCAGGAAGATATCAGACAGTCCAATAAAGTGTATGATGACACAAAAAGGAAAAGGTCAGTTGTGCCATCATGGAAAACTGAATTTTTGTGGTTAATTTTTGATGACACTGACAGTTTAAACGTCAAACTTTTTTGCAAGACCTGTCGGAGTGTATTTGCACCATTGGTTTCTAGGAAACAACCAGATAAATTTCACAAGTATGCCCATGGTGCGTTTGTAATAGGCGGGTCATGCAACCTTAGGCATGACTCACTAGCTACTCATGCAGTGTCCGAAGGACACCGTTATGCCAAGCGATATTTGTCAGCAAAAAGGGACTCCTCTAGCACAAGTATTGCAGAAAAGTCAATTCAAGCCCTCAATAAGTCAACTTTTGATAAAGTTCAGCACCTGGTACGAACTGTTCATGCACTTACCAAAAAGTCTCGACCACTTTCCGATTTTGTGTGGCAGTGTGAGCTCGATGAGAAAAAATGCATTGACATAGGTCAAACATACAAAAATGAACACAGTGCCAAACAGTTTATGATATTAATTGCAGAGGTGGAGCGCAATAAGATTGAAGACATGTTATCTCAGGCTACCTTTATTACAGTTATGTCAGATGGTACTACAGATATTTCTGTTACAGAAAATGAGGTTGTGTATATCCACTTCGCCATAAATGGTGTCACTCATTGTTACTTTGTTGGGATGGTGGCTTGTGCATTTGCAAATGCTGCAGGTATTTATGATGCCATAATGGCAGCCCTGAATGCCAGGGAACTGAGATTGTAGGACATTCAGAGGCGAATAATAGGATTTGCAGGAGATGGAGCTTCAGTCAACACAGGACAGATCTCAGGGGTTATAGCTCTGTTTAGAAGAAATATATCGCCAGAAATCATTATGGTACAATGCATGTCACATCGTATTGAGTTATCATTCAAAGATGTTCTCTCCAACACACCTCTCTACAAGAAGGTATACACTTTGATGGATGAATTGTACAAGATGTATCACAAAAGTGCCAAGCAGACAAGTGGTCTCTGTGCAGCATTTGAGGCTCTGAAGATCCCTGCGGCTATGCCAACTAGAGTTGGTGGCACTCGGTGGCTTGGGCACACCATGACAGCACTGAATGTAATCTGGAAAGGCTACAAAGCCTTTGCCCTGCATCTGAATGAGGTACATATTTTTCACATTGACAAATGGAAGTGTATTTTTTATTTTTTTTAAGTTATAACAATAACTGTAAACCTGTAACAAGAACATATAAACTGACAAATATAGTAAATCATCAATATAATATCACAATGATGATATTTAGATGTATTTTTTAACAATTAACATAGATCTAAACATATAACTATAATTAATATTATATAATAGGCATAAGTAAATAAAAAGTTAACAATAGCACAATCAATTTTTGTGATATTATTAATGTAAATGATATGGTCAATTTTACTGAATCTCAGATTATGCTACTCTATTTTTTGTTTCTTACAACAGGTAGCTAGTACTCCCAGTGGAACATCAGCAGTACAATCCAAAGCCAAGCACTTGATCAAGCTCCTGAGATCAAAAGATGTAATGCTCTTTGCCCATTTTCTCACAGATCTGGTTGCTGTTCTTGTGAGGTTGTCCATGGCACTACAGAAGCGACAGACATGTATTTATGAAGTCCATCAGGAGTTGGAAACCACCACACTCAACAACTTCAACCTTCATACCAGGTCAGCAAATTTAATAGTGTTGTATAAAAAACTATTCCTTTATGTTATCATTTCTGCTTCTTCTGGATGAAAGCTTACAATTAAAGTACAGGTCACTGCAAATTGTGTGTGCCTGCTTGTAGTTTGTTAGACAAATGTAGTGACTTGTTGATTCAGTTTTGCACTAGTGGGGATATTAACTTTGTATTTTCAGTCCTGGCCTGAACATGAGGAGACTACAAGCTGCCCTGACTGTGCGTGATAAGTATCAAGGGGAACAACTACAGGGGCAATCTGCAGCTTATGAAGCCCAAAAGAGGAAAGTTCTGGATAATTTGGTGTCATCTTTGGATAAACGATTTGCTGACATTTNACCTAAATCCAAGAGATGGGTATGGAGGCCATTACCGTCTAGGAGGAGAAGCGGTAACATACGGGTCGGGACTAAAACCATGTGTACCGCCAGTGCCTACGCTGGTGGTACAATAAACATTATTTAAAGTATAATAAATATACACTGTTAAGAACAAACTGCAAATTCGAACAGAATTTTTAGAAATATTCATATCTTATAGTTGTTCATGTAAGATGTATAGCAAGTATTTATTGTTTACTTCTACTGCAATTTCCTTCAGGTGGCTATATATCAACACACTAGCCTAGTAAAAATCAACACAATAAAACATGTAGTAGGCCAACAACTGAATAACTGAATAACGACGGCCTGTCCACGGTAGGTTCATCCATGCAATGCGTCGAAGTAATTTTCTATCAAAAAATCAAAATTATCAATTACAAACTCAACACATGAATTTTACCTAGAAATACCCCCATTATAGTAAGTATATGAGGTAGGAAACGAACAGGCCAAATCAATGCACTAGCCAAGTATAACACGGTTCTTACACGCGACTGCTGCGTGTACAATCGGTCAGGATGGTTCACGCAGAACGGACCGTACACGTGACACCGGAATTTCAGAAGAAACATGCGTGGCTCAGAACAACAGTGCACACAGCGGATGTGAAGACTACGACACAGACTTGCTAGTATTGGCACTTGTGTAATGTTGATTTTTGTAAAATGTAACAGATCTGATTTATAAACTAAATGCTTAATTAACATTACAAGTGCAAGCCAAGCCTGACAAATTCACAGTAGTTTTTGATTGCTCATGCAAATGCTCCGCTGTCAGTTTAAATGATCAATGCTTTCAAGGTCCAGTGCTTATGAACCAGCTTATGAGTGCCCTTCTGTGGTTCAGACAGTTTAAATATGCTGTTATGGCCGACATTCAATCAATGTATTATTAAGTGACTGTGCCTACATATGACAGAAACGCTTTGCATTTTATATGGCGTGAAGATGATTCTATCATGCATTATCACATGGAAGTGCACTTATTCGGAGTGCAAGTCTGGCAGTGCTGGCTCGTTTGCACTGAGGCATGCAGTTAGAGATCCCGATGCTGGTAATCCTGTTAGAGACACCGTATTATGGCATTTTTACGCAGATGCTTTACTGAAGTCATTTAAGTCGAAAGAAGAAGCCTCGGAAGTGATCGTAGGCGTGAAACTGGCAATAGCTGAGGGTGGGTTAAATCTTACGAAGTTTGTCGTGAATGACTCTGAGATTTTAGAAGGCATTGCGCCTGATGACCGTGCTAAAGAGGTCAAAGAACTCAACTGCCATGCACATGTGACAGCCTGATTGATTTGTCGATGTTGACAACACATACATTATGATGTTTGTGAGGATCTACACCAGGAGGCTATGGAAAATTTAAAGTCACTTGATGCTCACAAATTCCTTGTGTCTGAATGGGTTCAAACAGTGTTTCACTACAAGACATGTAAAAAGGACTTTATTTTGAGAGCAGATTCTCAGGGAGCAAAAGAACCCCACCACCCTTGGATAGCTGTGAGGAAAGATGGTCAAGTTATTGCTGAACCAAAGAAGAGCTACAGTTAGGACCTGGACAAGCATTTCAGAATGTACACTCATTATAAGAAAACAAGTGGGATGAACTAGCAGCAAGAGTGCAACAACAACTTGGACATGAACAACAGGAATACCAGGAGGATATACAAGGATGCTGAAGCAGCAGAATATTTTAAAGACTTCACTGGTGTGCCTGATATGTAACAAACTGCAAATGATAAAAGCTTCTCTGTAGATATCAAGGCAAATCAATTGCATACACCATACACCACCTTTTGTATGCTACACCCTGGAGAGTTGGACCTCCTATTACAGCAATTACTGTTAATGGAACTGATACCTGTGCATTTAACATCACATCAAACAGAACATGCAGCACTTGCTCTGCATTTTATGATACTGGAGGCATTTAAAACATCTAGTGTAATGCCATGGCCCCCAACTGCACAGGAGTTGAGCACAATTCTATCTCACCATCAATCATTGTCACTACGGAGTCACGTGAGAGACTGCATGCCAGCTCTGGTCATTCTGCTGCTAGTTCAGCAACTGGTCAGAAGTGTTTCTCACACTGCTCACGGGGCAGTGTTGACACTTGATATAAAACAGCTGTAGCCACACCCTCACGGAGGGAGTTTCCACGGGAAACTGCTGCAGTGTTAGTTCTGTGCCTCACACAAGTTTGTGCACAATGGCTACTGAGAGTAGTGAAAATCACTCAAATGATCTTGAAAATATGAAAGAATCAATGGCTGTCATGGCAAGTGCAGTAGAAGCATTAAGTAATGCTTTCACTGCAAAGGAAGAGCCCTTGCGAAAGAGACAAAAAGTTGAAATAGACAGGCCAGAGTCTTCCTCTGATAGTGAGGAAAGCGAAAGCAATGTTTCAGAATATGACATTGAAGATCTCCTGAAACTTTTGTGATATTATTAATGTAAATGATATGGTCAATTTTACTGAATCTCAGATTATGCTACTCTATTTTTTGTTTCTTACAACAGGTAGCTAGTACTCCCAGTGGAACATCAGCAGTACAATCCAAAGCCAAGCACTTGATCAAGCTCCTGAGATCAAAAGATGTAATGCTCTTTGCCCATTTTCTCACAGGTCTGGTTGCTGTTCTTGTGAGGTTGTCCATGGCACTACAGAAGTGACAGACATGTATTTATGAAGTCCATCAGGAGTTGGAAACCACCACACTCAACATCATCAACCTTCATACCAGGTCAGCAAATTTAATAGTGTTGTATAAAAAACTATTCCTTTATGTTATCATTTCTGCTTCTTCTGGATGAAAGCTTACAATTAAAGTACAGGTCACTGCAAATTGTGTGTGCCTGCTTGTAGTTTGTTAGACAAATGTAGTGACTTGTTGATTCAGTTTTGCACTAGTGGGGATATTAACTTTGTATTTTCAGTCCTGGCCTGAACATGAGGAGACTACAAGCTGCCCTGACTGTGCGTGATAAGTATCAAGGGGAACAACTACAGGGGCAATCTGCAGCTTATGAAGCCCAAAAGAGGAAAGTTCTGGATAATTTGGTGTCATCTTTGGATAAACGATTTGCTGACATTGACAAGGGTCTACTCAGTTGCACCCGTATAGCCAATTTACAGTCTTGGCCTCCCACATTTGAAGATGCTCCAGGTCAGCATTAACAGTTCATTTCTGTTGTAAATTCTGCTAAGTTACTATTGCAAATCTTATAAAAATAATCTAAGAAATTCACCTAAAGAACAGTACTGCCTCAAATATTTTTAGAAAAGGTTTATTGACATTTTTCATGAGTAACATAAGTGTCTTAAGTATACTAATATTTTTGTTCTGATTTTATCTATTTCACAGATTTTGGTAATGACATGCTGGCACAAGTGGTAGATCACTTTAATAACCATCTGCAGCAAAGTGTCGACTTGGCTGTCATGGATGCAGAATGGACCTCTTTGAAACATGACCTCTATGAAAAGTATGTACATCATTATGAGCAAATAGAGATAGATAGTAAATGGTGAAACTTGGAACCAAACTTCAAAAC